CAGTGAGCCTCTCTCTTTGGTCTTTAGACTTTGAGTAAAGTGTGACAGGAAGTAAATCCATCTCTGCTTGTGATGTGATCAACAGTAAATAATGTGCAGGAAGCCGAGGGAGATGCACAAAGTATATTTAACATGCTGATCACTGGGATCCATCAATCATCCAGCACAACAATGAAAATAATCTCTGGATGGCTGGAAATGTTGGCAGAGTCAGGCCAGTATAGCGTGTGCACTAGTATCCATTGTTTGCTGCCGATGGTACAACCTGCTTTGTCGTCTCCATGAGCAAACTGTGTATTCTACCAGTGTGGAACAAGCAGCACATGTCATAGTGAAGAACCTGTCCAATCAGCGAGCTGGCACTGTTGTGCTGTAGATCTCTGGTGCATCTATTAATATATATTGCTTGCTTGATTGAAATTCAAGTCCCCACTCACCCACATAGGGCTTTTGAGATACTCGGCTTATCTGTCTTCTCCTCAGGTTGATGTTGGGTGGAGCAATTACGGGGATTAAGCAAGGTCATAAAGTTTGTGCAAGACTGATAAAGGCTTAATAAGTGCATCAAAACTGAGAGTATTGAAAGAGTCAGAAAGGCAAAAGAAATGGGGCAAAATAAGTGAAAACACCTGTTTTGGTAGAGTTTGGAGCAAAGAATCACCTGTGTGACATTAAGGGAATTAAAAATAGGTTTGTGCTGCAAGTCAATACAAAGCACATTAGGACCACTTTAGCTAAAAAACAACAACAACAACAAAAAAAAAACCTGCTATCCTCTCTGCAAGGACAGTAGGAGGGTCTGAAGTTTGAGTCAGCATTAGATGACTCATTAATATGTAATCATAATAGAGCATCTACTTTAGACATTAAATATTTAAACATTTTAAACATAATTTAATGAATTACTGGAATTAAAAAGAGGGAATGTTGTCTCCAGGCAGTTTAACTGGTTTAGAGTGGCAAGGTAGAGTGGGTTGTGTTCAAGTTAAAGAACACGGGTGCAGATTTCCAGTTAAGGTTGATTTATTCAGCTGTGGTTATCAGCAGCTTTATCACAGCCACACATGGTATATGGGTGGCACGTTTAAGGAGTGTCAGTGTTGACATGGTGATTTCAATAATGTAGGACATATCAAACTTCTACAAAGAAAAGTCTATAAATGGATGAAACATACCACTATACACAAGTGAACAACATGTAAACATTGGACTCTCTAACGGGAATACAATTCAGATTCTTCTGTGTCTTAATGATAGAGTTGTACCATTGATAAGTCTGTTAACCCACAGTTTACTTTTCAGGCTGGCTTTTTTCCCACCTTTAGATATGTCAGACTTTTTTCATGTACCAGCTCTTTTCCAGTCTTATTGGCCAAAATATTTAAAGTGCACACTTTTAAAACCCCTGCTCTGTTTTACTGTACTACTTTGCTTCTTTGTCTGCAGCTGCTGCACTGCTCTCACTGTGTATTAATGTATAATCCGTTTAGATTGGTTCCCCCATGGAAGCTGTAGTTTATAGCTGTGTCCCAAAACGTAGGCTGCATCCTTCGGAGGCCGCATTTGAAGGCAATCACAGCCAGGCGACGAAGGTTGTCCCAATCCGTCGACTCCTTCAAATGTTCCCGAATTCCCCGAATTTGAAGGATGGGTCAGGTGTGTCCTTCGTGGCCCACCATGCACGATCTGATATGTTGGTGTTGTTCCCAGATCATCATACTAAAGGTTGTTCCAGGATCAATATTGCAAGTGACCAATCAGAATGTTGTGATGTCATACTTTTGCGACTTCGGGAAAAACCGGCGTAAAACAAAAAACTGTACTTAAGCTGCAAGAAACCGCCTTTGTCCGCCGATCAACGGACCCTAACCCTGACCCTAACCCTAACCCTTTAATAAACACTAAGCAGAATTGATATTGTCCTTGCAACATTGGAATTTCATAAATGCACGAATGGGTTGGTGCGCAAAAGAATAACGTCACAATAATGTGATTGGTCACTTGCAATGTTGAACCTGGAACAACATTTTCATGATGATCTGGGAACAACACCAACACGACGATATCAGATCATCCGCCCACCATATCCCAGAATTCATAGCGCGAACCAGCCAATTCCAGTTAACAACAATGGCGGCCGCTACTAAGTTTTAATATTACTCTTATTAATCTGGGTCACAAAATAAACTTTTAACATATTTTCAGGCGAGAAAGTAGCCCTGTAAACTTCAAATATCTGCTTGGTTTATCAAGACATCGCATATTTGCAAAAGTCCTGACGTTTTCGGAGATGTCTGTTACCCACCAGCTCGATAGCTATCCGGGGTGAGAACAGCAAACTCTCAGCTTCACCTTTTTCAGACCCCCGCGGTCTTTCGCTACTCAGGTTAAACATGATATATGTCACTCGGATAACTTAAAAATGTAATTGTTTGGCTTTTTCCGGTGTTTTATTGCTCCGGAGTAAATTGGTTTGGCTGAGATCAAAGTTATTAGATTATTAAATTAGATTAAATAAAACTTTATTAATCCATCGGGTGGGTTCCTCCGGGATTTTCACACAGCTTAATAAAGGTCAAAAAGGAAACTGATTAAACAGAAGTGTGAGACAGTCGAGAATTTACGCCAGTGTCCAGTAACTTAGAAACCAGCTTTGTGTGCCCACTTAACCTGATTGGTGAAGTTAGGGTAAGTGAATCAACTGTTTTCAGCAGTGAATTTCTTAAGTTTCATTACTTAACGTTGGTACTGCCTCTTTTTCTTGTAAATTTGTTGTTTTGTTTTGTTTTTTACCTTCAGTAACCCTGATACACTGCTGCAGATCACAGAGGTACATTTGCTTCTCCATACAAAATAAATAGGGTCAAAAACTCGATAACAAAGTTCTTATTGGACTAACATGATGTATGAACACTGGGAGGTTAATAGTTTCTTTGCTTGCATTCATCATTGCTGGGTTAGTGAAAGATGGCAGCAGCTTCCACTCTTCTATTAACTCCTCCATTAGCTTGTTAGCTTAGCATAGTTTATTAAAGACATGTCCTATCATCTCATGTTTCGCATTTGTCAGCAAAGCATTTTTCAGTGTCACTCTGACAGAGTATGTCTGATTTAAACCTGAGTAATGCACAGCTAAAAAAAAAAGTATTTCACAATGGGTTGGAAACACAGACAATCCCAAGAAAAAGAAGGTCTAAAAAGGTGAACAGGGCTGATATTTTCATGAGCATCACAAACTGCTACAGTTTTGTTATCAGAATGTTATCTGTTCAGTCCATTAACATATGGGAAGCCCAGGAGAACCAGGTGAATATTTTATTTTATCTGGTACACGCAGGCAGGCCCTCTGACTCAGCCTGCTCGGCTGGAGAAAGGCCCAAAAATGCAGAACTCTGTGGAAACCTCCTGAAACATGGCAGACATTTCTCAGTGTATGCATCAGTGAGCCGCTCTGATAGGAAGTCATCCTGATCTTTGAATGTCATCTCCAGGTCTCCTTAACGCAGCCATGCTCTGTCTAATCAAAGGAGCTTTTACATCTGAATGTTGTTCAGGCAAAACAGGAAGGATCATGGTTGTGCGTCACCTCTGAGCGTTTAAAGGTGAGCACATCACATCCAGGGAGGAAAACTAAGAGAGCAAAGGCCATGAATTCTCACAGTAGTTGTCTGATAACAATAGTTTAAAAATTGTCCGTTTATTGTAATACTCTCTTTGGATTTCTGGAAAATATTATTGGGGTCAGTGACCACAATAAATATGCTTCAACTGTCATTGAGAATGACCAAACTGAACACCAGATAAGTGGCTCACAGAAGAGCTGGATTAGCTCCAGCTCTAACAAAATGTCAGCAGTTATGCAAAACAGCAAAGCAAACAACAGAAAAAGTGTCACCATGTCAGCCAGGATGCAAGCCTCTGCAGCTGTGTCAGCCTAATTGGACAAATGTTGTCAGAGACCTCAGTCATTAAAAGAAAAATTAAATTTTTGTCGGTGCTGAAGAAAAATCTTTGTTTTGTGTATTTGTGTACAGAGTTCTCTGAGGTCTCTAATTAACTACCTGTGATCCTGAGCACAGTTCGACAGGGGCAACAAAGTGGATGCTACATATTTCCAGTGACTCTAACCAGCTGAGGTGTCCCCCACTTCACGTTCCCCTGGGAGTAAAAAGTGTTAATATGGAACAGCAGTCCTACAGGAACTGCATGGTGTACATCGATCTGTGCTGCTGGAGTTTTGCTGGCCCGGAGCCTGACTCAACAAGAGTCAGTTTTACTCTCTCACTGCTGGTAAACGGTGAAAGTAGAGCTGTGAATGTAGCTCGAGAGAGGCGGTCTAACTGAAGAGCCAGAAAGCATTTCCCACACAGAAACAAGAAACGCAGTCTGTTATCTACTGTACCAAAACCCTTCCTCTTCTTCATTCAGCTGCTTCTTTTCAGGTGTCGCCACATCTGCACATCTGAGCATCTGCTTCTATCTCACCCTATCCCTAGCATCCTCCTCTGTCACACCAATCATCTGCATGTTCTCCTAACTACATCCACGAATCTTTACCCTCTCCTCTTTGTCTTCAGCAAACAGTAGCAGTTTGCGGTGGCACCCTGATCAACCAACGATTGATTTGGGAATCACATTCTTCATGAGCCGCACGTTTGACTTGGCAAAGATTCTGTCCCGGATCCCATTTATCTGGGCTTGGGACCGACACTAGGAGTACACTGGCTTGTGCAGGTTTTGGGCTTATCCAAGGAACTTCAGGGTTTACTCTGCTAAGTAGGTGGTTCACTTCTTACCAGACTATATCGCCATAGTACCTTTTGGAGCTGGTTAGGTTCCAGATTAGGGATCAACAGTCAATCCTCTGGAAAATAGCATCACCATTCCTGGAAGGTCTTTTGACCTCTGGCTGCAGAATAGACGGGTCTAAAGTTTTTCAATAGTGTCTAAAGTCTGTGTTTCCCTGATGAGCATCTGTAATAAATATAAATTCTTACACGCAAGTTTATACCTCGATTTATTTTTTCGTTCTCCTTTTGGCTGTTCAGGATTTTGGGCTGTACAATGCATACAGAAAAACAGATAAAGTAAGAAGATGCTGTTCAGTGCATTGAGAGCATTTACATGATGAATATGATTGCTGAAATAAATCAGTGAGTTTACATGTACACAATCCACTAGGTGGTATACAATGCTTCGACCACAGTCTACAACTGCTTTCTTGTCTCATTGGTTCTTTGCAGTTAAATTGATGCTGCCTTTGACACAAACCATTAGAAAATCCCTTTCACTGGATCTTGTTGTAAATATAAACAGAAGTTTGGTAAACCACTGGTGTAATGTTCGTGACTGGTTTTCTAAACAGGCCATTTTTTCTTTTTTTTTGTTTCTTTTTTGTCTGTTTCCAAAAGAACGGACAGTCTGACATCAGCGAGCACACCTTCAAATGCTTAACACTAGTTATTTTACCCTGTGAAGCCATAGCACCATGTACACCATAATGGACTGGTGACATTTGTGTTTCAGAAATTTCTTGCATTTTGGTCAAAGCTCAGATAAATCTGGTCCCTGATGGTCTACACTTTACTCAAAGACACTTTTCCGTGCTTTGAAAAATATGGCTGCAGTGCTTCATATAATGCCGGTAAACTGAGCAGTCAGGTTACACATCACGTTACAGTGAACTCAGACTCTTGGAGGAGTGGTCACACAGTTTCTTTGGATCTCTGTGCAGCAGGTACAATTCACATGTTCCATCCCAGCCCGATGTGTGTGGCCAGCAGGTAGCACATGCCGATCATGCATGTCATTATCATCATGGGGAATCCCAGCCTGTACAAAACAAGAGAAGAGCAAGTTAGTTGCAATGATCAGCACTTCAGTCAGGATTAGTGGAATAAAAAGATTTACGGGCTGCAGTAACCTGCATGTGGTGGCCTGTCTCTGATCAGGGCATAAAGGAGGAGCAGGGGGACAGGTGGGTTGTCAAGTGGCTTGCAGATATGCCCTAGATCAGCGGTCCCCAACCTTTTTTGCGCCACGGACCGGTTTATGCCCAACAATATTTTCACGGACCGGCCTTTAAGGTGTCGCGGATAAATACAACAAAATAAAACTAGTACCGGTAC